TCTTTTGGTGGTAGACTCATTCTGTTAAACTCTGTTCTTTCCACAATTCCCTTGTATTATATGCCCTTTCATAAGTTACCAGGCTGGTTGATCAAAGAAGTGGATAGAATTAGGAAAAGTTTTCTATGGACAGGTAACAATCAATCTAAACCCTTCAAATGTTTAGTCAATTGGAAAAGGGTATGTTTGAGTAAATCAGAAGGCGGTTTGGGAGTGAAAGATCTAAAACTCTTTAATATCTCTCTTTTATCTAAGTGGTTATGGAAATGTTTTGACAGAGATTCTTTCATAGGTGCTTTTCTTTATCAATTATATGTCAGAAAAGTCTTTTCTCTGCAATTATCTAATTGTAATGGCCAGAACTCTAAGGTTTGGAATGATATCATTTTCAACAAAGAAGCCTTCATACATCATATATCATGGTACCTAGGATTTGGTACAAATATCAGATTTTGGGAGGACAAATGGATTGACAATAATACCCTATCAAGTCTATATCCATCTATATACAGTCTTGCCTTATCCACTAATGTATCTATTCGTAGTCAAGGGCACTTCCACAATAATATATGGCACTGACATCCTCTTTTAAAGAGAAGCATTTCTCAAGCTTCAAACACAGCCAAATTTGATCTTATAAATCTTCTTGATTTATACAGAGTGAAAAATGAAGTCGATGTTCCTAAATGGTCTCTTACATCCAGTGGCTCCTTTACAGTTAAATCATTCTATGATTTTTTAAATTCCAGAGGTGTTATGTTTGAATTCTATAAAGTAGTATGGAATCCTATCTTACCCAGCAAAGTCCAGCTCTTCACATGACTTCTATATATGAATCGGCTACACACAAAGGATAATCTCATTAAGAAAGGATGGCAAGGTGAAACTTCTTGTATTTTATGTGGTATGCAACCGGAAACTTGCAATCATATATTCTTTTCATGTAACACAGCTAAAAAAGTATGGAATCACTTCAGTGATTATTATCTACCATTCGTCTGGCCTACATCTCTTGATGGACTATTGTCATCAGTAGACTCTCTTCATAACAAGGAGAGTTTTATATGGCGAACTATCTTGTCGGCAGTTTGTTGGTTCATATGGAGTACAAGAAATAAGTTTATTTTTGAACATGTATCTTTCTCTGCTCATTCTATCATTAACTCAACTATTGATGCTTTATATGAATGGGCAGGTTCTAGTAGAAGAAAGATGCTCTCAAGTTAGCAAGAGCTCTAAAAGAAAAACCGATCAGAAGGAGCAGTGGTTAACAACATAAGTTAGTTTTGGGAGCAATGTGTTCATAAATCTTTTGTAGCCTGTTTTTTGGTTTTTTGAATTGGTTTATGGCCGGCTTTGGTTCTCCTTTATATCTATGTCAACGGTGAATGACGTCAAGGACCTCTCTTCATCTTCATGGATGTCTAGGAGAAGAAGGTTATACATCTCTAGTTCGGGAAATTATTTTTTCTATCTACTAATTTCTTTTAATGGATACAGTTCGTATCTTTTTTTGTAAAGATACTTGTTTTTATTAATGAACAGGGTATATCCCTTGTTTTTCTCATCAATTTTTTTTTTGTGCTATATTCTTTCCTTGTCGGGATTTATCCCATTATATTTTCCTAATAAGGTTCTAAGGGCATCTCCAACAGCTTCTCTAAAATTTTCTCCAAAATAAGGAGACAAAAGTCATATTCTTCAAATTATTTTTACACCAACTCCAACAGCTTCCCCATTTTGAAGAAACCATTTTTTCCTCCAAAAATTTGGAGAATGTTGCATATTTGGGGAAGCTTTCCCATTTTTTCTCCTCCATCCCTATTTTGGGGAATGAGATGGGGAATCTGTTGAACCAAAAACCTAACTAAATTCTTCAAAAGTAGAAAATAGGGAAGCTGTTGGAGATGCCTAACTAGACAGCACATCATCTTTTCCATTAAAAAAAGTTATTAGAGAAACTTGAGGGTATACAACTTCTGCCAAATATGTCCACAAGAAATCTAATGGTAAACAACTAAGAAATCTAATAATATGGGAAATTATAATGCCTGATGCGTCCACAAGAGCGATTGATAGGAGGCAGTTATAGAGAAGGAGAGAGAATGAATGGAAACATATACATGACAAAATTTTTAAAAACACCCATTTTTCGACATTAAAAAAAATCAGCAAAATTGACCTTTTTCATCGAAAAGGATCGATTTTGTTGGTTGGTATTTTTTGGAAAATGGACGGGACTACTAGTCCCGTCCATTTTCATTGAAAAAAATAGTTCACACCCGATTAAACGCCGACGATTGAGACTCCTCGCTCTTTGTCGCCGCTCCGCCGTAACAATCAAAAGCATTGAACTTCACGCCTCCTCCTTTCATCGATCCCTCACCTTTAATGGAATCCCCTCGTCGGAAAAACCCGCCCCTAATCGACAACGACCCGTCACCGTCCCCTCTCCTCCCCTAATTCGTCATTCGTGGAGAGCGTCCTCATCAAGAACGACCCATCGTCGTCCCCAATTGTATGCTCTGCCCTCCTCCTCCTCGTCTCGAGCTTCCCTCGGTTGGGTAGACCCCCAGCTCTTCGCTCTCTGCACCATCTCCGCCCTCTCGACAACCTCCTTTCAAATATTCGTCGGTAATCGAAGAGTGAACCTATCGAGATTCCCCCCGGCATCACTAGTGAGTGCCTAGTTGAGTGCGACCGCGGGAACCTCGCTGGTCGAGCCCTCGACCTCACCCTCTTCATGTTGATGAATTTTTTTCAAAGAAATGGGTCACGGGTGCTTTTGTATAAAGGAAAAGACAATAAAATGGACGGGACTAGTAGTCCCGTCCATTTTCCAAAAAATACCCATCAGCATAATCGACCCTTTTCGATCAAAATGGTCGATTTTGCTGATTTTTTTTCTAAAAAGGTCGATTTCGCTATTTAATTTTGAAAAATGGGTGTTTTCAAAAATTTGTCCAAACATACACTAATTTTTTCTTTATTAAAAATGAAATGCTAGTAGCACACGGCATTTATGTCTTTGGGTGCTAGGCCCAGTGATTGGATATACCACGTGCCGTGGCCGATGTAAGGGGTTGTTTGGTTGGTTTCTTTTGCCCCTGATTCTCTGCCAAAACTGACAGCTTGCTGTCAATTTTGGCAGGGAATCAGGGGCAAAAGAAGTAAAACAAACAGCTCCTAAGTAAATTTCCTTGATAATCATCGTTTTCACTGGCAAGGCAAAATATTTTAGGATTATTGTTAGGTGGTTGATGCTTTGATGTGTTAAATGATTAAAACGACCCAAATCGACTTATAATTAAGAGTGATTAATTCATGCTGCATATGAATAATATTTTCAGCATGTTCCATGATTAAGTTTGATTGATTCATGTTTCATCATTAATTAATGTCAGTGAAGGATGACTTAATTAGTTGACTTCACCCCACGATTTTCTTTACAGAAAAAACAAATCAATCAACCTCAGTTGTTTTAATATTTTGGAGCCACAATTTATCCCAAGAATATCAACCTCAGTTTTTTATTTTTTTATTTTTCTGAAAAGAATAAAGTCCTTTTTCACGTCTAAAATGAACTAGTTTGTCAAAGGTTACAAGAAAAGAAAAGAGTCTTTTGCTTCCCTTTAAATTTCCTTTTCACATTCTCTCACGTGAGTAAAGCAACAACTTTATTCTAATTGTTTAAGGGCAAATATTTAAAAAAAAATCCGTTACCTTTTCGATGGTTATCAGGAAAAAAGACCCTTTTTAAGTATGCCAATTATCACTAAACTCTCCTTAAACTTTCAGATGTTATTAGAAAACTTCCTTTAGTTTTGAGATTTTATTTAAAAAACCCATAAATTAGGATAATTTTCTGATAAAATCTCAAAATTAAAAAAAAAATTCTGATAACCCCCTGAACTTAACGGGGTTTTCCTGACATTTTGAAACTAATGGGTGGTTTTATGTTAATAGCCCAAAGTTAAGGTGGTTTTATGATATTTAGCCAACGGCGTAGCTCTTGGACTCTCCAAAACTGTGGGCCCGCCGTTAATTAGTACTCTCATCGAGTCAAACGCCATCTTTTTCTGCGCTTCACCGACTCTTTTAACTCCCTCACCCAAACATGATTAATGGCCGCACGATCCTAGAGTCCACATTCAATCCAACGGATGTAATCGCGCCACCTTCTCCTGTGCACGCTAGCGGATCAGAATCCTATACTTGTATTCTCCAATATATAATGGGTACATGGAATATCTATATTCAATTTCAGATATAATATATTTATTTGGTATGACACAATTAAATATTCATAAATTCATAAATAAGTAAAATATTAGAGTCCAAAATATACTAGTTAGATAATTAAAATTACTACGCCCTTAAATCAGTAAATCTGAGATCAAAGTTAGCGTTTTAATACTAGATCTGCACATATGTCGAGCAAATTGTTGAACTTCAATCTTGATTTTTTACTTTAGTTAAAAATTAGTAAAAATTACTAAAGTCACATGATTTATACAAACCTTTCATATATGTTACTAATTATATGTTATTTTCATAATCGATATATATTAATTAACATTAACACATATATAAATAAAAACTTTTTATTAAACCAAGTTAACGTAAAATAAATACTTTATTGTGTTGTCGCCTTATACTAAGGGTGTGTTTGGATTTCAATGGGGTTAAGGGAAGTTAAGGGAAACTAGGTGAGAGAATAGAAGGGAAGGGAAGGGAGTTCCCTTCCCCTTGGTTACACCCCAATTTGGGGGTAACAAATTTTATACTATTAGAGGGTGAACCAAGGGGAACTAGGTTGAATAACTTCACCTCCTAAATATTTTCAAATAAGATGAATGGTTCCCCTAACTTCCCTTCACTCTTATTCCCCTCAATCCAAACAAGCCCTAAATCATGTCTATGTTTGCATATGTAACTATTTGTAAACAAATACGGATAGGATAAATACAATACACATTCTCCCCCTTCACTCTAACTTGCGCCGGTTTGGAGATAAAAGCCGAACGGTCGCAGCGAGAGAGAAATTAGAAAACGGGAGTTTATTTTCTGCTTAAAACCCTAACCCTAAATCTTACCCCTTGATCGATCTTGCTACAGATCTATTGCTTGATTTTGCCCCAAATTTCAAAAGTTAGGGTTTCGGGATCGCTCTCGATCTCCGCTGCATGATCGATATCGGCGACAATGGCCGCCATGTTCCCGGGACAGTTTAACGTGTCGGAGGTAATCGAAAAGATCTCTCAACTTGATTTTGATTTGAATCGGATGATCTTTATTTGATGTTTTATTGATGAAAAAATTTTATTTTTAGGTTGGGAAGTATTTTGTGACGCAGTACTATCAGATAATTCATCAGAATCCGCATGTTGGATATCAGTTCTATAACGATTCGAGCACCATGCTTCGGATCGATGGGGACAACGAGAAGCTTGCTGTTTCCACAATGGTATTTTCAAAAAATTTTGAAGATTTTTTTATATTATAAAAAATGCTCCTTTGGAATGGAGTAATGTTATGTTAATCTAATTGAGTATAGAACTGCAAATTTGGATTAATTATGTGTGTAACATGGCCCAAAAGATCTCATCTATATCTTAAAACCCCTCACTTCATGCGGGAGAGGGGCTTTTCTTCGCACAAGAAAGATGTGAGTTGTGTTTTATATCTTTAGTTATGTAAATTTGGTAATTAGACTTTAGAATTTTTATATTTTTAATGTTGAAGTGTTTTGATGCAGTGATGCTTAAGAATATGTTCTTTTAGGGTTTTCGTCAGTTAGTTTAAGAAACTATGGTGAGGTTATGTGATATATATCATAAATGCACAACTTTAATGGGAATCGTGCATGAGAATGATTGGGGAGGATGCCTTTTTCATTGGGAAAGTTCAGTAATTTTTTCAAGCACCTTGCTAATCAGTTGAGAAGCATAGAGGATATATATCAGAAAGGGCAAAATATTTTGGGTTTTATGGACTGGAATTCTGCTTACAAGTTCCAAGGGAAGTATTATCTCTTGAAGCTTTTCTACTTCGTTTATTGAAACATATATGTAGTATTGACTTCCTTACTAGAGGTGAAATTAGTCGGAAAAGAAATTTTCCAATGCATTATCGTTAAGGTTAACAGGGTTAGTAATCTAGAACAAGGTCTATACTAGTTAATCTATATGAACATTTATATGAGTAAAGCCTTAAAAACATATAGCACCAAGTTTCTAAGTAAAAGTTTGATGCTATCCATCAAGGTCTAGTCACTATAGTCTATAGCTAATTCAAACTCGTTCTTTCATGGATCTAACAACTGACAAATAACCCCATTTTAATGGAAAAGACCCAAGTAGATCTCATAGAATCAGCTTATAGTGAAGTCGAGCTTACATTTTTTGCACTTGTCTAATCGCGATTAATCCTAACTTAGTATATCTGTTTTATTACCTATTACTCAAATCATGTAGTCCTAAATACAGAAGGGAAATACAACGGGTAAGTTTGCTGCATTTATGGATGTACAGTGACAACTACTTTCAAGGTAATGAACTAGAATTCATTCACTAAATGTGTGATTCTAATACCATAACTTTGTTAGGGGTTGTATTTACTGCATCAGATGTAGTATGCTCTGAGATTCTGAGAATGGATAGTCTATGAACCGAGCATAATCAGAGAGCATGAATTTAAGTTGATCAGAAGTCAATTTGTTACGGATTACTTTGCATGCTCAGCTTATTGCCTCCCCCTCCCTCCCTTTCTTGTACAAGTATGAAGCATAGCTCTTCTTTACTGATGATGGTCTTCACCTGCAGGAAATTCACAGTCTTCTTTCAGATCTGAGCTTTACATCAATTGAGATCAAGACATTGCATGCTCAAGCTTCTTGGGGCAGAGGCGTGCTTGTGATGGTTTCTGGTTTCGTGCAAATGAAGGACTATGGTGGTAGGAGGAAATTTGTGCAGACCTTTTTCCTTGCTCCACAAGAAAAAGGGTACTTTGTCCTTAATGACATTTTCCACCTGCTTGATGAGGAAACAACAGTGCAGCCCTGTGATGACATTTTGGACCATAACAATTATGATACTAGCTCTAAGATGGTCAATCATCATATGCAGGATCCTGGTATGATTTTTATTGTGACGCGTACATTTTGTTTGACTAGGAAATTTCTCACTTCCAATGATTGGTCATTTTTCATATTTTGATTGGGGAGGGATTATTGTACGTTGTACTGGAAAAGGATGAGATAGTTAATGCTATATTCTGAGAGATGTACTGCTCCCTACCTTTTAGTGTCCCGTTACAATTTTACATGCAACGAATCAGACAATTCTGCAAGTTGATCGAACATGAATCCAAGACATCTTTCTGTAAAATTTAGTGGGTCACTATCTGTGTTATTCATAGATACCACTTTATCTTGTTTAACTATTGTCTGTGATCAGTAACTGATGGTGATGACCAATTCATCTGAAGTAACTGATGGTGATGACCAATTCATCTGAGATTGGAGTTCAGGAAAATCTTTCAATGGTCAATATTACCCTTCATTATTTTAAATATTTTATTTATATCTTAATTTATCCTAATCATAATTACATCCTATCCTAATCCTACATGAACTATCTAGCTTAACAATTTAAAACATAATATTAATAAAATATATAAAACATCTTTATAGTATTAGTTTGTTAAGATAAAGAAATTATATGTAGCTAACATACTATAATACATGAAGTATTGCAAAAATATCCTAAAAAGTTTTAAAATTGCACAAAATATCCTGAAAAGTTTAAAATTATAAAAAACATGGTGATGTCTCAAAACTTAAAATAACAAATATGAAATCAAGAAATTAACATCAGTTTTTGAAGAATTTAAAATTTACAGTTAGCACCTCAATGTCTCAAAAATTATAGAAACACCCTCAAAAGTTCACAAACAAGCACCCTGAAATCAATGTCTCAAAAATTATAGAAACACCCTCAAAAGTTCACAAACAAGCACCCTGAAATTCTAAAATTTCAAAACTTATAAACAACATAGATGAATTCCTCAAAAGTTCACAAACAAGCACCCTGAAATTCTAAAATTTCAAAACTTATAAACAACATAGATGAATTCAAGAGATTACCATGATGCACCCAAAAATTTCTGACATTTTAAAACTTAAAATAACAAATATGAAATTAAGAAATTAACCGTTGCCTCTGAAGAATTTAAAATTTTCAATTAACACCTCAATATCTCAAAAATTATAGAAACACCCTTAAAAGTTTAAATTATAAAAAATCATCCTAAAATTCTAAAATTTTTAAATTTGCAGACAACAAAAGATGAATTCAAGATATTACCCTCATGCATCTAAAAGTTTAAAATTTACTGAAATTAACCTCAAAGTTATAAAAATTATAAAAAACTCCTTCAAAATTTAAAAATTGTAAAAAATTCTAAATTTTCAAAATTTATAACAAGTACACATCAAATCTGGAAACTATTGGTAAATCGCTAAAATTTAAAAATTTTCAAAATTAATCTATAGCTTTAATAATTGCATAAACCACCCTCAAAATTTTAGGGTTGTATGAAATATCTTGATATTTAAAAAAATTACAACCAACACATGAAACATAGAAGTTACAACTACCAAACTTAAAAGATTTTTTTTGAAAAAACTCTCCCAAAGTTTTAAAAAAACTACAAATTACACCTCAAAGTTCAAAACTATAAATAACGGGCTGAAATTTTAAAACTTGGCAAAGAAAAGTATAATTCTTTGGTATTTTTTTCATTAAGATGTGTGTGTGTATAATTTCCAATTTAGGGTTTACTATCCCTTTTCAGCATCTAACAATAGTATAAGTTGATATTGGTAAACAAAAACAATAATAATTGATTAAAAATATCCGGCTAAGGAATAAAAATTTTAAAAATATTATAGCTTAAAATTATCATTACTATATAAATTAAAGTAACTCCATATAATTTTACTAATAGGTTGGAGCAACAAAAATACATTAGTAAAATTAATTGATAAATGTTTAAATCCATAAAAATGATAAAATACTATAATATAATAGCTTAGTATTAATTAATTATAATTTACAAACATTAATTTCTGATTTTAATAATATTTATAGGGTAAAAGAATACAAGGAAATACATATAGAGAAACTATCAGAATGTTCAGAGAACCCTTCAAAAGAATTAAGCTATTTCCATTGCAAATGAGAAAGTAATGAAAATAAATTTAAAATTCAAAAAATATCCATAAATCACATGAATTAGCATTAACATAAAACATATCTATTAAAGAAGCACCGACTGAGTTGCGTTAAAAAATAATTTAACAATTTTATACCAATCAAAGAATAATTCTTCATGAAAGATATAAAAAAATTAGTAAGTATTCATAAATTTCATACTTTGTTCTTCAAATACTAAAAAAATTAAATATTAATATTATAATTTAAGGCAAATTAGTAATGAAAAATACAAGTATTTAGTTTAGATCTTTGTGAAAAATAAGAGGGATAGAGCAAAGGTAATATTATTGACATAATATAAACTCTTATTAGATGCATATCAGAAGAATTCATTGTAGAAAAAAGTGATAGTTTCTAATCTTATTTAAGTAATAAATTAGGAACACAAAAAAATTCATAATATAAATTTAACATTTATTCTCATTGAAATAAAAAAAAATCAAAGTCTATAATTTAAGCAGTTTGTGTTGAACATCGAAAATACATTTGACTTCTTTGTAAAGTCAAACAAGAAGATAAAAGATTAATGAGCCCAAAAAAGATAACAACATAAAAAATATAATTCCAACTTGATATCACAATCGATGTAGATGATGAAGATACGAGAATTGCTCGGGAAAAAGAAAAAGATGAAGAAGGATTGATCTTAGCTCAATAAAAAATAAAACAGAAGGAATAAAAGACAATATTTTCTAAATATATTATAGAATAGTTTAATTATTTTGAGTGAAATTAGCAATCTTTAGAATGGAGTTTCATGAATTTTTCAGTATTTTTATATGCTTATGTGGATGCTTTTATCATATAAAAGTATAATAGAGTTAGTATTAATCTTTAATTTATAATTTTTTATAAAGTCAATCAATGATTAGGAACAAACTTCATATTTTTTTTATATCGTTGTAGCATACTCTTAGTCAATTATTTTACCTTATTAGTTTTAAATATTCACCTAACACTATTTTAATATTTTCACTTTTGCAACACTGTACTTTCTCAAGTAAAACTTGGTTTGATATCAGTCAAAATAATATAAAAATTCAAATTGGCTTCAAATTATATTTGTTTTTTTTTAATTCAAAGGTCAACATGAAAATTTAAAGTGGGTGTAGACTATGTAAACAAACATAAAAAAATCGTGATATAAAAGTTTAGAGACAAAAGTGAGCACAAACTATTAAAGTGGAACCGAGGAAAAAAATTTACTTAGAAAATAAGTCAGAAATACTTAATCATGGTATTTAACCACGTGCATTGCATGTGTATAAAATCTAGTGTGTGTGTGTGTGTGTGTGTATATATATATATATATAGGTGAAAACTTGTGTCAACTTAAGTGGATAGTGAATAGTGTGTCCACTAAAGTTTTTAACCACTCATATTGCCTAGGGATCCTTGTATTATATAAAATGGTGTTTTATATTAATAAATGTGTGGCTACAAATTTTGGTGGACATCAACTTAAGTTGATAGGAGTCTTGCTCTCTCTCTCTCTCTCTCTCTCTCTCTCTATATATATATATAATATATATATATATATGTATTATATATATTATATATTATATAATATATCCCCTCATGAAGAGCCTGAACTTGGAAAACTTACTTGGTGTACATGAGATGCCTGTTGCTTTCTGGTTAACAACTAATATATATATATTATATATATATATATATATATATATATATATATAATATGAGAGAGAGAGAATAATGGAGCTGACCCCCTGGCAAGCTCACCTCTCCATGTGAGCCTGCAAGTGTATACATGTGAGCCCCATACTAGTCACATCGGTGTGGGGCTCACATGCTCATACACTTGCAGCATCCGGGGGAGAGTGAGCTGCCAAGCTCACAGCTCTTATTCTCTCGTCTCTCTCTCTCTCCTATATATATAATATTATTATAATATATATATATATATATATATATATATATATATATGTATATATATTATATAAATATATATATATAGCCGGCTCTCAGAAGGAGCCTGAAACATGGAATAACTTGGTACTATTGAGTCGCTGTGCTTTCTGTTACAGCTAGTTTCCATAGAGGATGGGCCAAGGATAATTAGTTAGATGAGGTTGCGCATGGCAGAGCCTAGTTACATTTAACCAAACAGTTGAATTCGCTGAGCTATGGGAATTCACTTGCAATTGAAAGTTAACTCAGCAACCCCTTATTAGAGTCGAGTAATGTTTGGGTTATTGAAACTTCACTGATTTTTAGTTGCAACAATTTTTAAACTAGAAAACTCCACAGAAACGCTTTAAAAACTATTAAATCTGGCAATAATGTGATATTAGGTTTCTTAGGTGCAGCTTAATGTACATACGTTTGTTTTTGTGAATCAAACTATCACCTGGTACTGAAGAGGAGTCGAGGCCAGCTCTGTTGGTATTTCTCTTTTTTAAGGTTGGTACCATTTGTCTATCCATTTTCCGGTGTCTGTCTGTAATCTCACCATTCTCCTTGTCTTGATTGGATACCTTTCTTGGCTGTAAGTCCGCATGGAAGGGTTCCTTGGTTCAGTGATTCTTCTCCTACTGCTGCTGGGACTGTAGGATTTCCAATGCAATGTTTCCATTTGAGGATGGTAATGGACTTTGGAGCATGTCATTAGATATCTTACCCTTCTTTCGGAATCTGGTAGTATCCCGTGTTGGATGAAGTTGATGAAAGGATATCTCCTATTGGTGTATTTCAGTTTTGTCAAATTTATGTTGCATTCCACAAGGGCTTCATAAGCATTTAAAAAACTGATACTTATGGCTGACCCGCTGACAGTGCAATGGAAGCTGCTAACCATGATGGTGCATCGGCTTGAGAAGTGTACTGAAACTTGATCTTGCTATATTTTTTTATCCTCATATTTACTGATATTACATTGGATTTTCTTTTGTTATGTGTTGAGTGTTCTTTCTGAGCACTAGAATTTTTCTGTCCGGCATCAGTTTAAATATGGTTTATGGTTGAAAGTACTGATTTCTTTGGCTGTTCTAGGATACACGGTTGGAGAAGTGATTCAGAGTAGGGACTATGTGTCTCCTGGCAATGCACTTGAAGAAGAACTGCAGGCTAGGGAATATGTGGCTCCACTTCATTCAGATGAAATTGACACAGTTGATAAATATAGCATCCCAGAACCTCAGTACAATATACCTGAACCTCAGTACAGTATGCCTGAAGCTCAGTACAGTATGCCTGAAGCTCAGTATAGCATTCCTGAATCTCAGTATAGTGTTCCTGAAGATCAGTATAGCATACCTGAAGCTCAGTATAGCATACCTGAAGCTCAGTACAACATACCAGAAACTCAGGAAGTTTCCGAAGCTGATGACAAGCTAGATGAAATTCCCGTAGAGGAGCCTACTGCTTCTTTCCCAGGCGTAGGTACTGTGGTGCGAGACCCACCTGCCTCTGCAGGAGAACCTTCAGGGGAACGACCAAAGCAAACCTATGCCTCCATTGTATAACTTCCTCCACGCACCTAAAATTCCTCTTATGTATACATTTCTCTTTCAAAATTTTTCCATATGTTTGTTATAATGTGGTTAATTGGCAGTTACGTCTTGCAAAAGAACAATCTGTCAACTCCATGCCCCGTGCTGCTCCAGTGAGCAAAATGAGCCCCTCTGTCTCAGATGCACGAATTGCAAACCCCCAGCCATCTTATCCCGCAACGCCTGTCCAGCCTGAGAATTCTGAGGCAGTGGAGGATCTTATGCCAGCAGAAGATGAAGGTTAGTTTTTGCTCTTAATATCACATTTTTTTCTTGAAAAACCTAGCATATAGTGATTACACTTCCCTACTCAGGATTTGCTTACTTTACGAGTGTTAATCAATTTATTCATTTTCTTGTTCTAATGGGAGAAAATACTTTATTTTAACAGTTTCTCATAGTCCTGGATTATTTTTTTTTCTGTTGGCATCTCCTTTTGAAATCATTGTTTATTCTATATAACAAATAGTAGGAGCCTAGGAGGTTAATATTTCTGATCTGCTTTTTGTATATTCGTTGTGCGCGCGCATGCGCGTGTGTGGGCGTGCTCATATATGAGTGGTCTTTGGGAGGTAATTTTTTTTAGTTTTCTTCTTCTTTTTTCCTCTTTTTGGTGGGGACGTGGTGAGAGTGTGGAAGGATTCCAAATAGAGCATATAGAATTTTTTTGACATTATCATCTTTCTTAAACTCTACACATTTTTTATGGGCAAACCTCATCACTTGAAAGATTCACTCCCAGAAACATTTGATCTATATTCCCTTTTCTTTCTCCTTTTCTCTTTTGGGTTTCACTTCACCGTATTTTTTCTGTTATTGCCCTTGTTGTAGGTGAAGTTAAATCTGTTTATGTGGGAAACTTGTCCTCTTCTGTTTCCGCCTCTGATCTTGAGCATGAGTTCAAAAACTTCGGAAGAATTAGGCCAAATGGTGTTACCGTCAGGAGCCGCAAGGTATATTTTCTTGGCTACTTGAGCTCTTTGTATTCTTCCCTGACCTGATTCTCAATATGTCAAGTGTTGCAATGTGTAGGATTCAGGTGGTTTCTATGCTTTTGTTGAATTTGAAGATGCTGCTAGTGTTCAGTCTGCACTCCAGGTTTGTTGCGTTTTCGACTAATACTTGTGCATGTACGGATATTTTATTTCATGTGTTATGTTTAGTATCACTATTATTTTATCTGAATGTCAATAACTAACTCCCAATCAACCTAAGTCGGGATGATTACTCTCAACATTTCTTATGACTTGTGCGATTACTCGTATTTGTACAGGCATCTCCAATATTGGTGAATGGAAGGCAAATATATGTTGAGGAAAGGAGACCTAACAGCGGCATATCTCGAATGGGTGGAGGAAGTAAGTACCTCTTGTTGTAACCATGTTAATAGCCTTCATTTATGCATATGCGAGGCTCGTGTTTTGTCTGGGAGTATTAATAATCTCTACCTTCTTTTGGCACAGTTCTCACTGTTGTTTTATATGACATTTCTATTACTATAGCAATATAAAATTGTTTTTCTTCTCGCATCTGCACCATATGAGCATCCAACACCATATGCAAGTTGCGGTGACCTTGGTAGGAGAACAGCAAAATCTCACTTAACTGCTAGAGAAGCTTTTTCATACCATCAAGCCACACATGGATATTTACTGTGGATTTGGATACAAAAGAGGGAAGGGGAGGGTAATAATTGTAGTAATCCCAAAGGAGGGGATTGGAGAGGGAGGGAACATGATGGAACTAATTGTGTTTGGATAAACAACTAGGGGAAGAGATAAGTACACTATGATTTGTATATGTTTAGAGTAGAGAATAGGAAGGGAGGGGAACTACATGACAAATATGACTTCAGTCTTGGGATAATCTTGGAATTTTAAGAAAATATCACTTAAAACCCAATCCTTCCCCTCCCAATCCATCCACTTTGGGAGGATTAAGAAAGTGAGGAAATTTGCTTCTTTTTTTACCCTCCCAATCCTTCCCCTCACTTACTAAAAAATGTAAACAAACACAATTTTAGAGTGGTTACTGGTCAGCATTGTGACCTTCCCAACTACTCTCCTCCCATCGTAAAAAAAACACCATGATGATGCACAATTCTTTTTGAAGGAGTTGGTCTCATCCGCTATTCTTTTATGTGCTTGGTATGCGAGGAAGTGTGATTCCTATTTTGAGGTTTTATGAATTCGTAAAGGGATTGTCGTTAAGCTGACATCCCTATGTTAGCAAAACAAGTGGGGTGAGTGTACATTCTTACCCAGGGTTGAGTTTATGAACTGGTTATCATTGTATTCTGGGGCTTTGGCAAGATGGGTAAAGATCTATTCATGATGCAGCATGAGAGATTCAGACCTTCTAAGGGGTTGGCATTCTGAAATGATTATTATTGTATTTGGTGCGGTCTGGGATATAGATGTATAAGCATGTAACTATTCCTTTGAAACTTTTGGCTATCACATTCTTATCTCTGGAACTGTGGCCTTAAATATAGATGATTTCTTGATGATTCGGAGGGGAGGTTTTGATTCCCAACTGCCCCACCCCAACCCCCAATCCCCTTTTATTATGTATTCCAGACATTCAAAATTCTGACCATTTAATATCCCTGATTTACCCAGTAAATTTGTCAAAATTTCTTTTATTGAATACACAAGCTATTTGATGATCGGAATTTGGAGGTGTTTGCTGATGTGTGCTGAAGTTCTCCATCTTCAGCCCTGAATTGATTTAACGTGTATAGTCAGCAAAAACCATGCATGATATCATGGTCGACTGTCTTTGGATGATCCTCTTCCCTTCAGAATGATGGACTTCGGAGGAATAGTGGTCATATGTATATATATTTTACTTTTGGGTGGGGTGGGGGGATGCCATCTGGAATGCCGTAAGGCAGAAATTTGTAATCACAATTATGAATCATCATTGGTAACAGAGTTGAAGCTACCAGAAGAGGCAATTTTACATGGCATCTCTGAGGTGAACTTATTTTTGGTGACTAGCGGAGAGCAATGTTGTATGCCATGAAACATCATTTGCAATTACTAACAAATCTTACACGCATGTTGAATTAAGTGCTGTGGTCGGTATTTCTGTGCATGGCTTTTGTATTTTGATTACTATTATTGCTACTGCTAACAATTGCGTGGTTTGTAGGAAGAGGAAGAGGAAGAGGTGCTTACCAATCTGAGGTCCCCAGATACGGTGGCCGAAGTTTCAGCAGGAGCGGCGAAACGACAACAATGATAGAGAATATACTACGGTCGGCGGGTAATGGAGTTCTCCCTCGAGTCCCTCGCCAGGAAAGGGGCATTCTCGGAAACCATGCATCGAGGAACGGGCAGGACCCATCTGAAGCAGCATATTATTAATTTGTCTAATTTAAATGTCGGTGTGTTTTAGGTAAAACTTAATGTCAGAAGCCCATCAGGTATTTTCATCGGACATTTTGTGGCTCCTACAAAATCTGCTGCCCACCATTTCCACCATGTAGTTTTGTAGGCTTTTACAAAGAAAAATCCAACGTTTTTATTACACTGGGTTTGCCTGAAGATGTTTGAATTGGCGATAGGTTTTGACGTGGTTTGTGTTATGTTTTTTGACAGTCTTCAGTTGTAATGACGTGTATTTGCAGAGGGTTTCCTTGTTTTATCTCCCAAAAAAAAAAAGTTGATATATTGTCACTGTTATGAGAATTCTTGCCGGGCTTGTTGCTTCCTTGAATAAGTCCGGCACAATTTTGGTTTTGGCGAAATAAGACGGCAGGCGTTTCGGCAATGTTGTTAGCGATCCCGGAGGAAATCAAGGAAACAAAGGCTCTGTTTCTTCTCTCAACCTTCCGCTGCCTCCTAAATTTAGCCCAAAGCACGAATGTTCTGTTTCTTCTCTCAACCTTCCACTGCCTCCTAAATTTCGACCAGAGCACAAATTTCTCCCACTTATATCAACCATTTTCTTTACGCCCCATCGTCCCTTTTCCTGCCTCTCCTATTGGCAGCCGCCCTTCCAACTCCGGGGGCGGAGATCCAAAATGGTGGCGGCTGGCGACAGCAAAGCTTATCTTCCCATCACCATCGCCGCCAAGCCTCCCTTCCACCTCCTCGAGGTCACCATAATCTCTGCCACAAGACCTCAACCCGAAACCCACCGGATGTCCAACTATGCCTCCGCCTATGCGACCCCAACCACAAGCTCAACACCCGCGTCGACACAGCGGACGATCAAACCCAGTTGAATGACAAGCTCGTGTTCGCGCATCGACGACTCGCTTCCTCCGGTCGGACACCTCCGCCGTCACCATCGATATCATCGCAACCACTTCCTTACGGCGGGAGCCGTTGTCGGTACTGCCCGCATTGTGCTGTCGGCGCGAACCGCGTATTGGCAGCCGCCCTTCCAACTCCGGGGGCGGAGATCCAAAATGGTGGCGGCTGGCGACAGCAAAGCTTATCTTCCCATCACCCATCGCCGCCAAGCCTCCCTTCCACCTCCTCGAGGTCACCATAATCTCTGCCACAAGACCTCAACCCGAAACCCACCGGATGTCCAACTATGCCTCCGCCTATGCGACCCCAACCACAAGCTCAACACCCGCGTCGACACAGCGGACGATCAAACCCAGTTGAATGACAAAGCTCGTGTTCGCGCATCGACGACTCGCTTCCTCCGGTCGGACACCTCCGCCGTCACCATCGATATCATCGCAACCACTTCCTACGGCGGGAGCCGTTGTCGGTACTGCCCGCATTGTGCTGTCGGCGCTGAACCGCGTCGCCGTCGACCGGTCGTTCGTCTCGCTCTCAGTCCGGCGCCCAAAATCGCTCCGCCCGCAGGGTATTATCAACGTCGGCACCTATCGCTCCTTAGCAACTACATACATAGCATGCACTCGATCCGGCCTTCAACTCAAGGACGTCGTCGATAGTCGAACCGAACATCTCCCGCGTCGAGCCCAGCCTCACCGGAAATAGCAAGGTAAACGAGAGCGATGACGGGTTGAGGCGCAGTGTGGAGCCGGAGCTCGAGAGGAAGCGCTTCTGTGGAGGTGGGGCCGAGGATGGTGGCGACGAGGCGGAGGTGCTCGAGTCGAAGTTGGAGAAGTGGAGAACGATCTATCGCCGCCGCCGCAATATGAACCAGAAGAAGCACCGGCGGTCGCTGACGCTGCCGTCGTGCTTTCTGTGGCGCCGCTGAGAGAATGAGGGGAAGGTGTGCGCAGATAATATATAGACGTCTATGTTGTGTTTGCGCTTTATGTTCGAATATACGTGCGGTGGTGTTTGTTTCGGTTTCTATGCGTGTAACAATAGAGAGAAGGGGTAGCTAAACTTGACAGTCTCCGGATTGTTGTGTCCGTAATCCCTCGATTCTACCTTTAAAATCATATATACGTATTCGATAACGTATCACACTTTTGTCTGTTCTGATTCGATATGTAATTCGAAAGAAGTAAAAAGAAAAGGGAATTGCACATGGTACCTCGTAATATAAAGTTAACGCCGCTCATAATTCAGTAAGTTTGATATTGGCAGAAAGACCCTTAAAACTAAATTGAGCGCCAGTCATCCCCCAGGTCTCCTCTGCGTTTACTGTGCATTGTTACTAACGAGGTTTGCGAGGGAGACGAGGTGGTCAATAGGGGAGGCGCAGAGTTCTACAGGCAGTCTATCCCAAATCATAGATGGTAGTTTGGTTTCAGGAATCAATCAACCAATATCAAACTTAAGCCACGATACCTGGCACGTCATAGTACAGGGGCCTGGAAGGGATGGGCGTGGGCCGGTTCAAACCGCGGGCTAAGCCGGCCTAGTCCGCCTTGGTTCAAGACCCGACCCAACCCATAGTTAGCCGGGCCCAACCCAACCAATCATATACCTCAGCTGTGCGCCGGGCTGAGTTCCACTCTAAACCCGCAAACAAAAAAGTAGGCCCGGTCCAATGCCCAACCCAACCCACATTCTACTCGGCCCGTCCACCTTAGGTGATAGTCAATTAGTCATATTCTAATATGTTTTGATAACAACTCACTTGAAATGTGCAACCTTCAAGTGTTTGGGTTGTAATTTTAATAGTAGTAGAGATTTTCCAAGCCTTATTTAGTATTTTGATAAATATTAATAATCATTTTGATTTACTGAAAACACTCAAATTGTTGTGAATATTTTCTCCTTTGAGATAATTTCATCATTAATTATAAATTTATACGGTTTAGACTTTTCAAAAAGATAAAATATAAGTTTCCTCTTTAAACTGCACATGCTAATCTAACAAAAAAATTGAAAAGGGAAAAGCTAAAAAGAAAAAAATTTGAACAGAAAAAAAATGTGGATCGTATCGCGACCCAAACCGCCATGGACCGAGTTTAGAACTAGCCGGCGCCATGTGGGCCGTGGGCCAGGCTAGATCTAGCTCTAGACCCGAGGACAAAACCCTCAGCCCAGACTGCCTAGGCCTACCTAGGCCCTAACCTCAACTGGCTGGGATCAAAACCGGACAGGCCAGTCCATGGGTCTGGCCCAGCCCGGTCCACCCCAGGCCTAGTGTACTAATTAACCCAAAAATGCATACTTGTTTACCTCGAGGGACCATGATAATAAAAGGGTTGAAGTATCATTTTAGCTTAACCAAGAACAGCCCAAAAATCAAATTGATAGCAAGCCTACGTCCACAACAACCATAATAATACACCTGCAAAGGCCCTGTGAACATACATCACACTGAGCGCAAGTCAATAATGACTATCCACAAAGAGATTGATACACTGTAAGCTAACAATAGCTTCTGCTTAGCAACTACAGCCCTCCATGGTCAGCAGCATGAATGACAATAATCACAACAGGAGCATAAAACTGAAACTAACATCATAGTTAAGTTTGAGAAAATGACCTACAGCATCTAAAAGCTTGCTACATTTGTCCCACATAACAAACATGAGTTTAAAATCAATACTCTCAAAACCATTCATCAGACGAAAACAATACCATGAAACTAGATCTTGAATATAGAAAGACAAAATTGTGCAGAGAGACTTGAGTTTAACCAAGATCAAACACCACAAAGTAAATAAAATGAAAACTAACACTGCTTCTCACTCCCTGACCCAACCCAAACACGGCTCAAACTTAAGCTGCAGCAGTTGCAGCCCTCTTCTTCGGAGCTGCTTCAGATCCTGCAAAAAGCAAACGGAGTTTAAATGAACTCAGTACAATATTTTACAGTAACAAGAATTTAAATAAAAACGCAAATTCACGGCACAATGCCCTTCAAAATCTGAGACAGTGGATCAGATCGTTAGGATCAGGTTAGTAACAAAGGTGTATATTTGTGACTTTACAAGTAAATTTGCTGCTCTCTCATGTAAAAAATCCTTTTCTCGCTAGAACTTATTTGATATGGCATTGTTCCATTGAACTGTGAATATTAATGCTAATCTACAGGCTAAGGAATATGATGAAGGTGCACATAGGTCCCGATATTGCAAGGGAAATCCAAAGGTAGCAACAACAAATCTCAAACAATAGCCATGGGTTTTCTTTTCAGATGTAGATGTAACTCCTTTAAATCTTTCATGTAACCCCTCAACAACATTCAAGTTTGATTTGATACAGCATTGTTCCATTCAACTGTGAATATTAATGCTAATTACGGGCTAAATTTTTTTATGATAGTCACTTAAAGATGCACAACGTCCCAATTCTGACTGAAGGTGCACACAGGTCCCGATATTGCAAGAGAAATCCAATGGCAGTAACAACAAATATCGAACAGCCATGGGTTTTCTTTAAAGAAGCAGATGTAACTCCTTTAGATCTTTCACGTAACCCCTCTAAAACATACAAGTTTCTAAGTACCAGTAACTGGTTAGAAAGAAAAGAACTAAATAAGAAATATTCACTGAATATACCTATAACTACAACCTACTGCTACAGAAATAATTTAAGGTTTTGAAAGAGGACGTGGTCATAACAAAACACAAATAATTGCTGCTAGAAATAAAAATAAAAAGGAAGATTCTACAGCATAATATCTTAAAATCCAATGACCATATAACAATTGTTCAATTCATCTACACCCGGAAAGATCAGGTCGAAACTAAATCTTTTAGATGCTGGTTTTAAGTTTAATAAACACCACATAGCATAAGCTCCATCCATAAATGAAAGAAAATAAAATAGCAGTGAGTGTACCTTCTCTGAAGTTGCTCTTGAACCTTCGAGGTACATGACGAAGATACCTCATCCTGCCAGTGCCTGTTGTCTTTCTCCTAATGGCCTTCACGCTCCAGTTATCTGTTTCGTGATTGTGTTAAAGGTAAATAATAACTTGCTCTTATATAAATGCCCAAACACTGATGCTTGCAGAAATTAATGTCACAAGGTATCTGATACTAGAAAAGGTTATAATAAATTCACAATACAAAATAAAATTTGGTAGCATAAATTTGCTCCAGCATGCTCACAAGGAGAGACAGACTAATCGAATATGAATGATAAAGTAGCAGACTCCAAGTGCAAAGAAAACTCCAGAAAGAAGTGTTAAAACAAGATGCCACATGATTATAAATAGTTTTTAACGACTTGAGATGGGTAAACCCTTATAAAAGGTTCAAGTAACGATAACAACAAGATTCTGCAAGATACCAGTCGTCACAACGCTTATGCCACAAGGAGGCGATCTTAGAAAACTACATGGGCAACAAACTGTACAGCTAGTAACCATAGTAATAAGTCAGATAAAAAAGCCAGAAGAAAAGGGAAACAAATGCCTGCAAAGTATGGTTATATTTTTTGTTTTTTTATTGGTGAAATTAGCGTGTGCTCCTCGAAGCTTGGATTGACACCTTGGTGGTCTAGTGCAGAGGCACCCAGACGGATGTTTAGGATTTCCTTTGAAATTTTCTATCTTAAATAGTGAAGAGGGGAATGAAAGAAAGAAAAATCATAACATATTAAAACTTAAATAGTATAAACATAAAACTGACGCTGGACATAAAATCACTATCCTTTAACTTCTATAATGTGGCCCTTCAACAACTTTCAATGTCAAAGCAGGTCGGAGCAGTTCAATGGGAAGGAAATGCATGGCGAGGCCAAGGCAAGACAAAGAGGAGGGGTTGAGTGGGGGAGAGGACAGACGAGATGGTCGATGGATCGATCTATTAGGTTAAACGAATTGAATCGACTTCTCTTTTCCATAGCCACTAACTTAATTAAAGTGGGTCATGAGATCAACCCCAAGAGGACTAAGCACCCTCCATTAGCACATGGAGCATCTAGGGTAATTTGAAGACACCTAGACATGCACTCATATCACAACACTAGCTCAAATTCGACAAAACTCCATCATATAAACCCCTAACAAGAAAATCGAGGGAAAAAATAAATAGACAGTATCCCTGTCGAGATAGCTAAAAGAATTTGATTGAAATAAACACAGAACTACTATCAACATGATCACTTGCCAAAAGAGAGTAAAATAAAGTAGGAGACTAAACACATAATTAATCCTTATAAGGCTATAACACACAATAAAACCATCAAGCTAAGGTAATTCAGAATGATTTCATGAGGGATTGAATGTGTCAAAGATACGATATCTTCTATGGTTCTTCCAAGACTTTCACTTTACCTAAATCTAATTGCAATCCAAACAATGGAATTTGCAGGAAACCAATTAATTGAATTTGCTTATAAAGTCCATCAAAATGTATTTATTTTAAAACTGGTTAACGATATTTTACTGCAAGTTTTGGAATTGGACGAGAAGGGGTATCGGATCTTACATTTGCGGATTCGGGCCGCGGGGAAACCGCAGGATCCGCACCGGCTCTTCTGGAGGTGGAAGCTCCGGCGTCCGCATCGGACGCAGAGCGTGTGGGTCTTGTTCCGGCGCTTACCGAAGCTCCCTGTTCCCTTGCCCTGCACAAAAATTAGGGTTTCGGTTAGGGTTTTCGAGAGATCCTGCATCCTACGCAGTAGAATTAGGGTTATGGTTTTTACCATTTGGGGGCGACGATCGGCGGCGGCGGCGGCGGCGGAAGCAGATGCGAGAGGGAAAAAAAACCCTAGAGGCGTCGATGATGGATATAAAGCGTTCCGCTGATAAGATTGAAGTTCCAAGGTTACCCTTTTGTCTAATTGTGAAGTTTAAATGGGCCGGGTGGATTTGGATAAGCCGGTGTATTTATTTCTGAATTTTTTTTTAATGGCTCTCAAGACTCAAAAGTGGCTTAGTAATAGTCTTTTTTAGCCTTCTCCCTTTGATGTGTATTAGTTGCTTTCTAACAACATTTGCAATCACTATGTAAGAGAAAAAAAACTATCAAATGAAAGAGAAAGAAGTACTATTTTTTAAAAAAAAATTTTAAAAATGCGCATGCCGATAAGAAAAGTATTACCTTTGAAACTTTCTATTTCATAACTTTAGAAAGTCTTTTTTTTTGTCAAATAGACCCAAAGTTGCCCTATCTCTGCAAAGTTTTCCATAGATTCAGTATATGATTTTAGTGATCCCTCAAATTGATCCATCGTTTGATTTTTGCATTGGTGTCAACGTTTGATAATCTTAATTTTGGTATATATTCGGTTAATTTAGCATTTAAAATGCATATATCGTACAGGGATTATGTTACATTATATTTATTAAAAAAATGGTAGTGATGATATTATGAACAAGCTATCGCTTCCGTAGCATAGTGGTAGTGCGTTCGCTTCGTAAGCGAAAGGTCGCGAGTTCGATCCTCGCCGGGAGCTGAGATCATATAGTTTAATTCTAATCTTTTTTTCCCCCATTCAATATGAAAAGTATACTTGTATTGCAAAATAATTAAGCGGAGGGGGCGATATGCAAAAAACAAATTGTATGGCAAAATAATCAATCTGAGGGGGGATTTTCAAAAAACAAACTGGCCCATGCAGGTCTCGAACCTGCGACCTTCGCGTTATTAGCCTAATAGGCCCGATGATAGTAATTTAAAATACACCTGTAATGTTTATTTCATTAAGTGTTAATTGCACTCACTCAAAACTACTACTACTACATCAATTATTGCAAAAGTATCCTCCTCATCATCCTCAACTCCTCGAGAGCTTGTCTCGTAGATATTTTTGTAGTGAGCTATCAAATCATGTTTAGACCCTAAACATGACCCATGATTCTGGGATCGCAGATATTTCGTCGTGAGAGGTCAGAAGTCAAAGCGCCTGGGGTTTTCTAGTGAAAGTAAGCATTTTTGCCACAAAAGGGAAGGTGAAGGGGGGGAATTATTGCAAAATCTGGCCAAGACAATAGGAACCTTACGACTAGCTTGGCGTTGTTGTTGTCATATGTGAGTTCAGGGTATTTGATTCCTACGCAGTCTAATTAAGGTGGCATTAACCAGTTGAGATCTATTTGACCAATCAAACCGATCGAATTTTGGCAGTTCGGTTCGGTTCGGTTCGGTTTTAGGTATCTGTCTAGTCTTATCGGTTCGAGAAAATTTCAATCTGAGTAACTAACTGAACCTATTACTTTCTTATATGTTGAAAGTATAAACTTTCTTTCTTTTCTCAGCCCACAATTTCTTTCTCCTTTCTCCTTAAATTGTTTATTTTTTATTATTTTCAATTAATTTGCATCATTCATTTGTGAAAATTTAACGCACAATTTCTTGCACCAACTCCTTAACCTGTATCTTTTTTTTCCAGATCCAAATAAAGTTTTTCTTAATTAAACGGCCCAATCGAAAACTGAATTAAATGAACTGACCGAACTAATTTCAGTAGGTCTAGTTCGGTTTTAAATATAGAATGGTCTGGTTTGATTTTGTCAATAGTACTCAAAAGCGATCGAGTCTACCATTTGCTCACCCCTAAGTCCCTAACTACACCTAGGAAAATAGACCTTGGTCAAAGTGTGCTTAGATTCTTGGCTTATTTTCATATAACCCAAATCATGGGTATTTGCAAAAATACCTCCCAAATCTCGGTATTTGCAAACCTTTCCCTCAAATCACCAACTTTATAAAAAAATATACCCCTCAAATAAAACAAATTATAAACTTAATGCTAAAATTTTGATTGTTTTATTTATAATTTTTACATCACAATTACAAATTGGCTTATCAAAGTTGATGCTTAATTATTTTAAGAGTATTTTTTTCAAAATTGATGATTTGAGGGGTAATTTTATAAATAATCAGATTTAGAGGGTATTTTTGCAAATACCCATACTTTAAGGGGGTATATATTCAAATAACCCTAGACTATAATAACAAGTGCCTTTTTCAGGTGACCTTTTTAATTTTGAGATTGATGGGCATTAGTTCTTGTTTGTAGGACTGGCTTCCTCAACTAATAAGGGTCAATGTCTTTACCCACTGCACTCTTGGTTTATTATTAGGAAAATGATTTAAGGACTCAAAATATGGGACCAATGGAGGGAACATGTGAGGTGTCCCCTCCCTATTGCATAATGAGTTAGCCATGCCAACTTATGCCAACTCATTATGCAATAGGGAGGGGACACCTCACATGTCCCCTCCCTTGGTCCCATATTTTGGGTTCACGTAGCAGCACTTTTATTATTATTGTGATTATTATGATTATCATTTGTTGTAGTTAAGCTCCTTTGTCAAAATTATTTTATTTTCGTAACTTCTTTGCACTGTAACTCTAACGGTAACTGGTTAATCTTTACGGATAATAATACTAGTACATTATAGTTTTTTTTTCTCATCTTTTAGTATGAATTGTGAATTTTTTTTTCTTTTAATAAGTAGAAATTTAGTATAACTTTTTAGTAATACATACAACAAACTGATTTAGTTAAATGGCCCCACTAACAGAGCCGAATGTGGGCCCCATCCTACGTGGCAAGCGAAGAGTGTGAGAAGACTAACGGTTCTGCGTTAGCATCAGGGGGCAAAAGCGATAACGGCGATGCTCCGTACGGTAAACGTCCGTCAAATTTCGTCCTTTTCTGTTCTCCCTCCCAAAACTAAGGGCCTATAAATAGAAATCCACCAACTTAACATATAACTCTCCTCTCCTGGGTTCTTTTTGAATAACTTCTCTCTCTTCTTTGCTCTCTTTTGTTACTCTTTTTGTGATAATTTGATAAATAGAAGGAGAAGAAGAGAAATGAGATTATTTTTCTAAATTTCCTCCTTTGCATATAGTACTTAGAATTAGAAAAATAGTTAAGGGTTAGTTTTTGTTCAAATATAGTTTCATTTTAGAGGTTTGGAGCTAATTAAGAAGGAGATGCTGCAAGACTTGGTTGATTCTCTGAAGCAAGAACAATTATCATCAATGGTAAATTCTTTTACTTATTTCTCTTTCATTTATTCATGAAAGTATTTGTGCTATATAGAAAATGTTCATGTTATTATGATATTTGTGAAGCTGATTTCTTCTTATTTTTTAAAATTTATTTTTCATTTGTAATCCTCAAATTCCGAGGGAAAAGCCTTAACCTTTTTTTTTGGGGGTCCTTCTATATTAAGAAGCTTACTTATATTGATTCCACATTGAAACTATACGACCAATGTAATATAAGCCCAAGAGTATAAATTTAAGTTACTCATATTTGCAATAAATTCATGGCCAAAGTGTTTTCTCAAAAAATATCTAATTATATATATAATACATTTCTCTTCGTGCATTCTTGGGTCTAATTTAACACATAGTATGCTACAATTATTATAGTTTTCCACAACTACTAAAAACATTTTGAATAATATTTCATTGAACTGTTTTGCATGAACCCTTACGTTTTATCTCAGAAATGAAGATGTCTTTCATAAAAAAGGAGCTAAATTAAAAGACAAAAACAAAGTAGTTAGAACTTAACAATATTATTGTAAGGAATATTCACAATGGAATGATCCACCAATATATAAATTAACAGCATTATATATTACTAGAATAGTAAAGAGTGAATGTGTGTAGCAAGAGAAAGGTTATCTTCAGACATATTATTAATTATTATTGGTTTGGTGAGGGAACTTCTCCACGATCCTTCGGACCATGACTATCAAACCCAGAGGCGTGGCTAAGAGGCGCCCCCCAGCGGATAGCCTCAGCTATTCCATGAAATTAATTTCGTGTTGATGCTCCATTAAGAGAGTCGAACCTAAAACCTTGAAATACTAAAAGCTTAGGTTTAGAACTTTTATTTTGAAACTTATTTATTTTTAAGTCCTTAAATTAAAGCCATATGTGTGTACGGTGTACCAAATACTGGAACATGATTGTTTCGAAAGATCCTAAAATCTACCTCACCCCCCCCCCCCCTCTTTTCTTTCTTATCCTTTTGGCTTGTAGAGAGGTTGATTTTTTTGTTTTAACAATTTGCCCTCAAGTTTTTCACCATGGTTACCATAAAAAATATTACTTGTAAATATCAAGTGTTTTTTCTTTCTCTTTTTCATTTTCTTTTCTTTTCTTGTTTTTTTGGGGTGGGGGGTGGGGGTTTGAGGGGGGGGGGTATTTTTTGTTTTAATTTTGGAAGTGATATTGTTCCGTTGTTAAAAGTTAAGGGCATCTCCAACCCAGCACCAAAATGGTGCAAACAGTGCATTTTTTGGCACTGTTCCTTCTCCAACCCTGCCCCATTTCCTGCGCTATTTTGGTGTATTTGAACAGTGTTGCACCAAATATGGGGTCGCACTGTTCATCGCTTCATTACTGTTTATGTTTTATTTAAATTTATAAAACAACCCCAATAATATTTAAATTTTATAATTTTACTCCAATTGTATAATTTGGACAAAATAAATTATTTTTTTAATTATAAAAATAATGTTAAAATTTAAAAGACATTATTATTAATTATAATATTAAAATCTAGACATTATAATTAAAAGTAGGTAAAAAAGGAATATGTGAAAAAAGTAAAATTTGATATGTGGGGTTAATTGTTGAAATAGTTAAAAATATAGGGAATAAAAAATAATAATATAAAAGTAGATAAAAAGGAAATACCGAGAATATTCTTTTTTGGTGTAAAAAATGATGCAGTGGGTTGGAGATGAATTACTGTTAAATGTGAGTTTTGCATAATTTTGATGCAAAATTTATACTATTTTAGTGCAATAGGTTGGAGATGGCCTATGGGGTTATACTAGCACACAATGCTATTCCCTGTTCCAAGTCTTCGCTTGCGTGGTCTATGATTAATACGTTGAAGGGCCATAATTTAAACACGTATGAAACTTATCCTCTGAGATAAGACTCCACTACCTCCTCCTGTATATAGGAATATGGCAAATCTTCCTACATTTTTTGTTCCCTGAAAACTTTTAAATGTTTATAATGTAAAAAGTCAAGTCAATAATAAGAAAATAGAAAAGACCTATAAGTTTAAAAAAGTTACAAACCCCCCCTAACAATTCACAATTTAGAAAAAACTTCATTATAATTTCTAACTTATAGATACTAAAATGAATATACAGAATTATTAACAACCCCCAGAAAATAAAAAATTTGCAAAAAATGTCATACTCCCTTTAGAAGTATAGGTTTAGGAAAAACTTTCATGATCAATATTACCTATAAATTTTTTGAAAAGAACATAACTAATTACAAATCTATTAAATTTAAATTTTAACAAAAAACCCTTAAAGTTTAGTACATTACAATATAATGTTTAATAGTTTTGTGTATTTATAAATTATAAAAATTTTGGGTGTTTTTTACAATTTTTAAAAGTTTTGAGGGTGTTTTTTTTGTGTGTAGTTTTTTACATTTTCATTGTGTTTTCAATGTAATGCATAGATACGTCAATTAATGATGATATTAACGTGTAAGTCGTTCTTAAGATGTATTACGCCATAGTTAAGTGTGCACATCACTATTTCTAGGCAGTGTAGTTTATATGTGCAAAAAATTTCAGACCATCTATATAGTGGTTAAAATAATTTTGACTTTAATGCGCTATTTTTTATAAATTTTATTTAATGTGAATCTGTCATATAATTTTAATATGTTTGATTGATTGACTATATAAGTATATAGATCATAGATTACTTTACTTTCTCACGTACATAAACTAATATTTGACGCTTAATAATTTAAATTATTATTTCTAAATTTAACAAAAAAGAGGAGCTCTAATAATATTTATTTATTTACCTAGAGGACAATACAATCTCAATTCCTATTTTTTGCTTGAGATTTGTTCCATAGTTACGGGTATCAAATTAGTAACTAAAGTAATAATTATTTATGCTTAAATTAGAATGATTGTCGTTGGTCACTCACTATGGAATTTCCATGAATATATATACCTTACTTTCTATAGATATCTGCATTACCCATGTATATTTTATAAATTAGCTGTTAATTTGACATATTAAATTACTTTTTTGTGTAGAAATTTCTTCTTTGACTTTTGGATTGTGTAATTATTATATCACCATTCTAGCAAAGAAAAGACCTCACTCTAAATGACTTCAAACTAATGTTTGCGCTGAACTGAAGTATATATTATTGCTACTATGTGTATATATTTTTTAAGAAAATTATGTCAATATTTTTTAAACAGAAGAGAATATTCTAACCTATGATATTATAAAAAATATAACTAATTGAGTGATTAGCAAAAGTGAACTTACATCAGAAAAAGAGTGAATAATAAGATAAAGAGGAAATGTAATGGTATTGCTAACAATATTACTAATAGCAAACTACAATGTAAAGTTAACATATTTTGTGGAGCCCAACTATTGGCTATAAGAATCGAGGCTTTCATATATATACTTTATAATTTATTAAAAAGGTTCATATAATCTTATATAATAAATTTGATTTAATACTAAATAGTAATATCATTGTAATAATGTCATTATTAGAAAAAATTCTTCGTGAACCAGTATGTTCTTTACGATATATAAGATATGCACTCCAAATTATTGTGTCTTTTATAGAGTCAAAAAGTTTGACTACGAGTCTCTAACATTTTGCTCTCACAAGAGCAAAATTCATTTAGCAGATGTGGATATTCCAGATAAGTTATATGTCCTATATACAATACAATTGTCATATGCAAGTGAGTTATAATAGTGTTTTTCATTCATATCGTTTGGGGCAAGATTTGATAGAGACCTTGCATCAAAGAAAAAAAAAATTTATATTCAGAGCACATGGTGAAATATATCATAATCTCCCTACTCTAATTTCGTAATAAAATAATTCTTTATACTTTTAATTTTACTTCTATGATAAGGAGAATGAGTTATAAAATTGAATGTGAATATTAGATAATATAAATATGAGTGAAATCATAACTAAAAGTTAATGTGAATATAAGCTAAACTACAACTAAATATTTAATGGACATATTACAAGTAAATTCATATGCAAAATTTATTTGCGAATTGAATGATCACCCATCTTTTGAAGACTTCAAGATACTAATAAACGAAGATGTTGTAATAGATCAATGTGTTTATAACTCACAAATAGTAGATCACGTGGTCATTGTTTGAGTTGAAGGAAACAATGACAATATTTCATTTGAGAAAGAGATTACTGAGTTGATGATCAATCTCACAAAAAACTTTGTTTTCTTTTATTTTTATTGAATTTTTATTCAATTTTTATTAATTTAAATAATCATCATATTCAACCACGTGCATCTCAACTAGTAGCTCTAAAAGATAAAAGTACAATTTGACATAGTGACATTCTAATTATATCAGGAGAGGGGGGAAAAGACGATATACATTTAAACTGTCCAAATCTATTTGTATTATTAATTTGATAATAATGATAGATTTTCCTCACTCTTTCTCCTTACCCTCCGCTTTCACATCAATAGCTCTAAAAGATAAAGTCAACCTAAAGTTTTTTTAAGGAAAGTCAACCCAAAAGTTGACCTACATGAACAAGTAAACCCCTCTAAAAACAGAGTAAGCATCACTTGTCCGTTGACCACCCACTGTAACATACACAAAAACTATACTACTGAGCTACATAAATGCACACTTTCAGCAAACAAACTCTCACACTGTTTCTCCTCTCAAACCACAGGAGGATCCTCTGACATCCAGCCCCTTTGTCTCACACCTCCTCGACTCCTCGGCTGCTGCGGAGACCCGCCGACCTCTTCTCCGACGCCCTCTTCAAGACCTCCGGCACGGTCGTCTCATCCATTCCGACCATTGCGGCCGCCACCACTGACCTCTTCTACGACCCTATGCTCAAAACCTCCGACGCCATTCTCTCATCCAATCCAGACACCATCACCGCCACAACTGCCATTGACCTCTGCGACAACAACAACGCATTGGTAGCGGCGCCCCCTGCGATGGACCCCTTCACCTTGTCTTCCCTCCTCAACTCTCAGTCACCTGATACCGTCGACACTTTTGGTCAGTTGGCAGCATACTCGGCAGACGCAATGCTGCCGGAATGCCTGATGCCAGCCGGAGCAGCGAGCTACATGGAGATGGAACCAGTGACGGCTGCAGCGGGGACTTCATGCCAAGGTAATCGATCAGGGGATGCGGCAGGCTGGTGTATCAGGAGGGAGCGAGATGCCCTCCTGCCGTGGGGATGGAGGGGTTTTTTTTCCTGCGCTGGCGGATTACCGGAATGCGGTGGCGGTGGGGGTTCAGTATGGGATAGATCCACTGCAGCATGTTTACAGCAGACATGCTCCTGAGATGCAGGTATTTCGATGACAAACAAAACTCAGTTTGTTTAAAGTTTCCACAGTTTTCAGTATGTCGTTTTGTACTCTCAAGTGAAAACTGAAATTTTGGTATCATGATTTTATCTATACATTCAAACAAGTATGCAACAAGTTACTAATGTATGTCAGAATTCCAAGCTGAAACAAAACATAGCTTAATGCAACAGTGAAAACCGTAAATATGATTATGGCCGCATACCCAGATTTATTAGTTATAGGATCAGCTGATAACGATACAGGCCTATACGACACATACGGTATCCAATCTGAAGCATGTTGATCCTATCAAAACCGCGCTATGGATGCGATAACAAATCTGCAAAGGGGGAAAAAAATAGAAAGTTTGCGGCTTATCTTATACTGTATCGCCTCTCTTGATGTTCTGAAACTTGCATTTTCATGCCTGAGAAGATGTTCGGAGATAGGCGGCAGCAGCAGCAGCTAGC